TCTCCAGTGGTGGCTATCTTCCTCGGCCTTCAGCAGCAAAGCCCACTGTCTAACCTGTGCGCGCTTCATGTCTTGGCCCGTTTTGTAGACATCGTCCTACAAACCCCTCATTTTAGCGATATCACTTACGATGAGTCTCAGATGCGAGAGCATGCGTACGATTGCATTATTAATGACAGGATATCGCCTTTCCCGCGAGCATCCGCGACGGACGCTGTAGGGATTCGGAAATCCGTGTCGTCTCCAGTCTTGTTTTGATCAACTATTTTGTCTTCCGTTCCACTGTTTCATTGCGAGGGATTGAGTTTTCAATCCGTTAACAACTAGCTGAAATACGCGATTTCCATAAGCAAAGCGTTTGAATTCATAGTAGCGACTGTAGAAGAAGTGCGGTAACCTTGTTGTTGAACAATTCTGGTAGTAGGCAGGCTGCCTCAGACAGCAAGTCCTAATGTCTGTTCCTGTTGAACATGAACGAATACAACTTCTATACTGAACTCCTGGATGACCCGGAGTAACTGCTAAGGAAGCGCACCAGCTAAGTTAGGCAGGCTTACTGGCCCGAGCATACCTCAATCGTGTCTCAGCAAAAACTATCTCAGTCTAACTGAGTCAGTGAAATCCAACACCAAATACGTAGCAGAGCATGTATATGTCGCTCGCTATGTTAATCGATTACAAACCTTTGGTTGGTGTTGGATTACAGTCAGTTATAAAATCATCTTGATGAACTTCAGATTTGAACCTTGGACATTCGATATCCAGCACCACCGCCTAACCGCTAGACCAACCGCTCGATACAACACATAAATCGTAAGAGCCTCTTACTAAGAGGACCTTGAATTGAATTTTGTCGGCGCGCGCCGCGGGCGCGCGCTCGTTCCTTCACTGTTTTGAGGGTTCGAGGGTAATATTTTCCGGTTCACCATTTTCAGGATTCACTGTTTTCACGGACAACCCACTGTTTTCACGGACAACCGACGTAACTGAAGCTAGCCCAAGCGTTTCATCGGGCGTGCGATGGATATTATCGTGTGACACAATCTGTCCCCCGATATTCCGGATCTATGTGGATTCTGACCGATTGAGAATCCAGAGACAATAAAGCCTTCGGTTGTGGTTTGCCCACCATCAACCGCGAACGCTACCTCCCCCACTCCCGTATCCGATGGGGTTGGACTTCGCATGGATCAGAATGGCTATCATCGGTCCGATTGGGTGGGATTGAACGTGAGCTGCCGGGCCACAGACCGCTACTTCGATTCATACGACATATCCTCGATGGTCAGTCACATCACGAGTATCTGCAACTGATCCATAATCAATTTAATGACCCTCGACGTGAATTCGGAACAATCTAACCTACACAATGGAAGCTCACTAGACTCTAAGGACAGATAACACAGGTGCACCGCATGGAATCTTATTATGGCTCGATAGAAGACACAATACAAACTCAGTGTCAAGGGCCTGTCTTCTGAGCTCATCTTGTCCACTCAAAGCTGATTGACTTTACTCCTGAGTCTGAGAGATATGTAGGGGCTACTGCCGCAGAGACCAGTATGAAGATAAGCATGATACGTCGGGTGGCTGTATCAACAACCCGTTTCATTGAGTGGGCTATAATTCTATCTCAGCTTATATCTGTCTATCACCAATGCCGTCCACCACTCTTAGGGCGATGACCACTGCTGATTGTGACTTCCTTGACGCTGCTCGCAGAGGGGACTTTGTCACTTGCAAGGCCATCAGGGACAATGATGGTAGTAGTCGTAGTAGTGGTAGTAGTAGTACTGATCTCTCGAGCCACTGCTGCACTACTACAGCATCATCATCATTTAGAGTCCGTCGACATCAACACAGTATCTCCTGATACCGGTATGAGCGCTGCTCACTACTGTGTTTTAGATGGAGGTGATCGTGATGTGATGGAATGGTTGCATAAGGAGGTAGTATAATCATCATCATGGCACATTGCCAGCGACTAATGCTGCTATACAGGGTATAGATTGGCTCGCTAAAGACCTCGATAACCGGACACCGTTGCAGTTTGCCATTCAAAGATCAGCACAAAGCGCGGTGGACTTTTTTGTTTCGAAGGTCTTCGAGTAATATACGTTCATGTCTACGTAAATACAGTTGTTTGTATTCGCAGTCCTATCGAGAGTATCTTCTTCGTTCACTTCGATGATCTGCCTTCCACTGACACTCTCATCAACATCATCAACGATCCTTCAATTTCCGAGAGGCAACTCACTCACATGTAAGACTACTACCAATGACGTCACCATTTTGTCGTTTACTCAACTGGAATTTGATCTGTTCAACACTTCTCCTAAATTTCAGCAATCATCAGTACCTGAATTGATCTCTGGGACGTTCAGCGTATTGCATACGATGGTATCTTTTCAGGTTTCCTCAGTTCAACGGTATGCAACTGTGTCACCTCCTCGCAGAGTGCTCTCGCAAGGATGCGTTGAACGCGGTATGTACAGAGTCGACAGCCCGTGTGCTGATGCCCTGTCCTGTCAGCTCGCGGCTCGCTTGAAGACTCCCTTATCGTCATTGTTGGACTGTGACGGCAACGGTTGTCTACACTACGCTACTGCGAATGCTCTTATTCGCCTACAGAGGAAAATGATGCCAGACTCCAGTGATGATGATGACGATGATGACGAGGAAGAAGAGGAAATGAAAGTCTTGTAATAGCAGCTGGGTTGTTAACATATGTATTGATGAACTGACAGTGTCCCCCCACCAGAAGCCCTACAGGAGGTTATCAACACCATGCAAGACCTCGTCAACATCCATGGCGTGGATGTTAATCAGGTCAACGATAGTGGTGATACGGCCAGCCATCTGGTAGTAATATTTCGTGCCGGTTTGGTTGTCCATTAGTGCGGTATGTGACATTTGAAGTGAAAATTTCCAGTAGAAGTGATACGCAGTGTCTATCTTCTTGGGTATGCATACTGTGTGAACCAAATCGTTATGCAGAGCAGTATTTTAACGCTTTCGGTTTTGGAGGTCAACTCTTAGTAATATCAACATGATAACAATGTGAGTCGATTGACAATGGAGCTCCACCTGTTTTACGTGAAGTGGCGTAAAACTCGGTGAAAAACGCGATACTCGCGGTATGCACTAGTCGTGAAATAGGTTTTTTCACTAGTGTTTTTCATATCACGGGTGAAACTCCGGTGTTTTTTGAAGCGTTCCGTAGTCTATAGTCGTACTAACCTCAATTTGAAGGGAGCCATCTCGAGAGTCTAGATATGCATAACTGTTTAGTTCACATTGCGAGGTTTCTAGCCCGAAATGTGGTACATGCCGTATACACTGCGAACCGAACCGTTATACTATACAAAGTATTCCTCATGGTAGCGATGTGAATCGAGTCACAATCGTACCTACAGCCAAATTCTTACGATCGTTACATTGCTCGGGTCATAGTTGTTACCTTGTATCTACGATCAGGTTGCCGGAGTGGCCCCTACTGGTGAGATAGCGCTAGCCTTCCTTCAGAGTCTGCATCAGCTTGGTGCTGACATGAGAGTTCGAAACTCCGACTCGCAATGTGTTGGTATGATACTAGCTGAAATGCATGGCAACGGGCCATGGGTCGACTGGATAGTCTCAGAGGCTGGTTGTGATGTCACAGCCGTGAGCTCTGAGGGCCTCACTATACAAGAATATGTAACGCTATAGAAATATTGTGAAGGGAAGACGTTCGTTCAGGCAGACGAGCATGACGAGGAATGGGATTCGTCGTCGTCATCATCATCAACATCGTCCAGTGATGTCCATTGTTGTATGGGAGGCCTGGGCGCTATCAAGGAGGAAGAAGAAGAGGAGGAGGATTATAGTGAAGATGACTGTGATGGAATCCAAGAGGCCGATTAACTATGTAAGGTCTATGGTTATTGCCAACAACCGATAGGGGGGAACATCCTAAATGGTTTCGATCTACGGCTGAAGTGTGTTTGGCCGCGAAGACTTGATTCAGATGCTCGATAGAAGGCCTGTCGTTGTCGGTGAAAGGTCGTCGGTTGGGGTATTCATCGATAACAACGTTAAACCCCTACGTATTACTTTACAGATTGTTTCTATACCAACTTGTTTGTTTCCTGTTCACGAGACTAGCCAGTTTATTCTTGTGTTGACAGCACCACACGACGGCTGTTTTCCTCTTAGCCTTCCTTATCGTTGTTACTTGGATGGCCGATCAGAGTTCCTCCAAAGGTTGGCAACTGTACAAAAGATTTACTACTTTCTACTTCGGCAGGGGAGGCAAATCGAACCTTGATGCTGATCGTCGATCCGAGTCCGATTCCTCTAATACTACTACCTCTTCAACTGACGGCAAGTGTTCTTCTGGTTTCGTCTATACTTATCTCAACTGGCTCTTCAAGCTGCGGTGGATTACCATACCAATTGTCATTGGTCTGGTGGTCGCAGGGGTCTTTGGTTTGATAGATGTATTCGAGGTGACTGATGATGACTTTGCCGTCCCTGCCAACACACGGTCGTATAAGAATAGCGAAGCCTACAACGATTGGTATGCACCTGTCCCATCTCATACCACGCCATCACCAACTCCATCACCAACACCAACACTACAGCCGACGAAGCCGCCTATGCATTACACTGCGGAGGAGACGATGCTTATTCAACGGCTTGATGGTAGTTCTTTGACTGAGGACTATCTCCTTTACAACGTCACTCGATATGTGT